GTTTCATACGCACTTCTATGTCAGACATCATTCTGGTAGACTGCTCTACTGTCACTATCTGTTGCACGACAACCAAACTAACAGTATACTGGCAGGAAGGTTCAACCTTTACTATAACACCACCAACATCCAGCTTAGACATTACATATTAACACAAAAAAAAATATACGGAACGCCCTTCGTACTAGACTACACACCCTCACAGACCAGAAGGCAGTATTTTCATAGTCCTCACCATGAGAGCCTTAAACCTGACAAATCATTAATAAATGAAACATGGATGCCAGCTGGGGAAGGCAAAATAGGCATCTGCTCCCCTCCCCCAGTGTATTTTTGGAAGAAATCAAAAGAAAGGAATATACTAAATTTATTAATAACAAACATTATGAGGACTTAAAATTTTTCTTTCCTGAGTACTGTAGTACTGTAGGTCAATAGGTCGAACATAAATTAGTAAGCACATTTTTGCCCCCCCCCTCAAAAAAAAATAAATTCTGGTAGGGCTCATGCACTGATGTTTGGTTAAATGAAACAAAATATTATTTTGAACTTGCAAGATTTTTCAACTGCCTTGAGCTGTAATGCTAAATTATGTATAAATATATTAAATTTCTTATTTCTCTTAACTCAGACTACATAGTTTGAACAGGTATTTACATATTTAGTGCCTTATTTATTTCTTTATTATGTATATGTTACTGATCCCACTTCTGACACCAATGTAACGTGTTTTCGTTACTGAAGACGCCGTAGAGATGGTTAATTGGTTTATTTAACAATCTACAAATAACGGCTACAATTACTTATCACAGTTGCGGGGTTTCACACTTTATAACCCTAAGCGCATTAATCTGTCGACACTGTTGCGGGGTTTCACGACTTATAACCCTATGCGCAAATCAGTTCACTCTGTCTTCAGTAGTCTACACGTTTACCGTAGGGGAGCTTTGTATCACTGTATCACACGCTCCCAATTACACAATCGCACACACGTCCGGATCTTCTTACCGCGACGGCTGCTATACTCCAACTTGTAGTCGGCTGGCTGTTACTTTATAACTCGGAATGTCTTCGGCGGTAGCCACACTGGAACTCGAACTCGAACTGATCGATACGCACTGTGCATCCACTTATATAGCTGCAGTGCTTGCCTGTGGCGTAATGAGTGCCACGTCACAGTAGGACGTTGATTACGGTTACGTTAGCGTTGCGCGTTACGTCACCGCG